TGAATTTCCATCTCACAATCCACTCGTGTGTTTCCTCTCCAAATCAATCACAAAGCTTCCATACATCATATACAACTCATCTCCATCCATGTTTCACAATTGTAACTCCATCTTCATCATCTTTCAAACTCAAAAACTCAGCTCTGCAACTTGACTTCTCCAGCATGATTCTGGCACTTTCAGCATAAAGTAAGAGTTGCATTAGCTTCCTATGAGTCAAATGAAGCTATCCAGATCATCACCACACTTCCAGGGTTGCTCAAACTCCATACACGATTTCCAGTTTTGAGGTAAGTTTTCTCAACTTTGAACTCTCTCTACAAGCATCATTAATGGTTACTTTGTGAATAAAAAATGTAGACATCATAGCCCTGAAGCTAACCATGCCTTTAGTTTTCATTTATGGAGCCTGAGTGATGCGAATTTTGAGTTTCAACTTTCTGAAAAAATTTGGTTTTATTTGGTACCAACAGAAATTAAGTTTCATCTTTGATTTATATTTTAAGTTGATTACATGGTTGAATTCGTATTGAAAAATGGAGCAAGTTTCATGTTTATACTTTTGCAAATGGTTGAGAAATGAGCAAGATCAGAAATTCAAAAATCTTGTCAATGGCTTCTGGCGCAAGGTTAGGGATGAAGTTATAATCAGGATTGGGTTTACTTTAAGTTTATTGCAACTTGTTCTATAAACGGATGAAACAGCCACCCCAGTGGCAAATGAAGCGCGCGTAAGACATTGATCTATAGGGGCTTGGGTTCGAGTCCCAGTGGTACCCTTTTATTTGCTTCACATTTTCTTATTTCAGGTTCTTACATACAAGTCATATGTGCAAACACTGCACCCCATATCCACACTACCAAATCACCCTTCATCTCCATCCAACACTCATAATGGAGAGACCATGGTGCACTCCCAGAAATTAATCACACTGGATCAGCAAGCATTAGACTTTTGTTTCTGGGCCATTGACTGAGTTTCTTCCATATACCCCCTCTTTTACTAAAAATAATGTAGGCTCATATACATTTTAATTTTATTTTCTGATTTAAACAAAATACATTTGGGCCTAGCGCCCTTTTTGCTACTTTTAACTCCCATCTTTCTTTTTAAACCCCCTAGCCCAATATTTTCTCATATCCTTTATATTTTCTATACTTTATTTATTTATTAATTTTATTTAGAACTAAAATACAAAAACATATTTTTTTAATTAATTTAATTAAAAATATTTTATTTTTTGTTAATATTTAGAACTAAATTTTATTATTTTTCTACACTAAAAATACTTTTTTTGTCATTAACCTTCAAATTATTTTCTAAACAAATTATTAGACTTAGGTTTATTTTATTCTTAAATTCAATTAAATTAGATTTTAAGTTTTGTTAAATAATTAATTAATTTCTTTTGTAAAATAAAATTGATTAGTCTAATTGAGTTAACTATAAAATCTTTTTCTCCATAAAAAACCCTAAAAAATAATTTCTTTTTCTTCTTCATCTTTACATTTTGTACATTCTATCATTATTCATAATCAATGGTTTATAATAGATAATTAAGGCTTTATTGCTTTCTTCTCCCTATTCATAAACTTGTACCCCCCATTCCCAAAGCGTTGTAATAGCGTAGGATATTTAAATTCCACATTTTACCGCTTTTCTTATTATTGCTAGTAACTAGGGTTTGCATGACAAGGCTTAAAATCAAACCTAGCACAACCCGAATTCAAGATAGAATACTTGAAAAACAACACACTTGACACATATGCACCTCTAGGGTAACCCGCACTTGTTGCCTTGAATAAAAAACAGTCATGTCCCTCGAACGTGGGATGTTTTAGCAAAGACCCTCGATTAAAAGATCGTAGTCCCTCGATGACCCTTCGATGTTGCCTTCAATAAACCATCTTAGTCCCTTACGACAATTTCTAAAATATCTTACAAGTTTCCTTCTATGACTGTACAATGACACACGCGTGTCTCTCACATCCAACGATATAGATCTCTAGCAACCCATGGTGAAGTAGCACTATTTAAAGGAGGAGGAAAAGAACAAAGACTTTTTTAGTAGGTAGGTTGATCGTAATTTCTTTCTCACAAACAAAACCATTTCTACACTTCACACTTTCAAAAACAAACATCTTTTCAAACACTCTCTTTTCAAACAAGTATTTTCAAAACAAACATTTTGTATACATTCTCAATGATACGAGAATCATTGCAAAATTACCGCACCAAGGCGTTTTTAAAATATTTCCAAAATAAACATTTTGTATACATTCTCAACAATACGAGAATCATTGCAAAACTATCATTTTCAAAACATCTTCAAAAAAATTACACAAACACAGTATTTCAAGGTGATCGAGTAATTAAGAGCTCGTAGATAACTTTGGATGAAAAGGGTTCTAACACCTTCCCTTTTCATAACCTATCCCCCGAACTCAATAAAATTCTCAAAAGGTATTTCCTGTTCTTTTCACCCTTTCCTTTATTGGATAAAAGAAAATTCGGTGGCGACTCTTGCTATCTGCAACATTTACGATCAAACACAAATAAACCAAGTCAGTTCTCCAACCGTATAAAAAGAGATTAACAGTTCTACCCACTCAAGGTCGTTCTTATACTTTTCCTCTTCCTTTAGATAGCTCTATCTGTACCATTAGTTGGTAGGAAGCCCTGTCCGTTGGATGTGAAGGGGCAAATGAAGAGTCATCCTACGGTCATCGAAGGCAACTTGTAAGGATGCTTTAGCAATTTTGTAAGGTACTAGATCATTTATCGACAGGAAACATCGAAGGGTCATCGAGGGACTATGATCTTTTATTCGAGGGACTTTGTTAAAGCGTCTCTACATTCGAGGGACATGACCATTTTGTTCCAAAGGCAACGAAGAGAGGCTACCCTAGAGGTTTAAGTGTGCATGTGTGTTCATCTCAGTTATTTATCTTTGAATTTAGGGTTTTCTAACGTTTGGTTTTATCTTTCCATACACACCCTAGTTACTAATAGAAATATAGTAAATATAGTAGTAGAAAATAAAAGCAGAAACGTAAACCTAGGACTATTACAATGCTTTAGGGAAAATATATAATAGAAAGTGCGGAAAAGAAATCCTAAGCTATTACATCCCGGAGCAGTTACATAATAATGAAAAAAAGAAAAAAAATAAGACCTAGGGTATCACATTTGAACGCGCCCTATACATGTATCTAAGAAAATAAAAATAAGATGAAAATAGGAGAGAAAATGTTTTTGGTGATTTTTTTTAATAAAAATAATGATTTATGATAATTAATTAAATAAGCCTAAAAATCTAATTAATTTTAATTAATAAAAAATTTTAATTGAAAAGTTAATAAAAATCTAAAACCTAATTAATTAGGGTTTGTAAAAAAATATTTTGTTGTTAATGGTTAAGTGAAAAATAAATTAAGGTTAACCAAAAGAATTAGGGTTAAAAAATAGGGTTAGGGAAGAAATTAAGGAAAAAAACAAGTTAGAAGCAAAAACAGAGCAAAATGCCAGGGGTGGGTGTTTAACCCACACTCTTGGCCTCCTGTACTACAGGGTTTACCACTGCGACAACCAACTTTTGGTGTTAGTAAGACGTGCGCTGCATAAAATATAAGAAAACTGAAAATTGAAAAAAACATGAAAAAAAACACAAAAGGCAGGGATCAAACCCACACCCTAGTATACCGAAGCCTTAATATGCGTGCGCTTGCCACTGGGGTGGCTGTTTCATCTGGTCATTCAGTGAAATAAATAAATTATAAAACAAACATTATCGCCTAGACCAGAGAGGCATCAGAGCCATAGTTCCGGTTGTCTTCTCTGGGGAGCTCGTTTTTCACTCCTGCAAAATAAGAAAGTTTAGTGATTCAGTGGTACCCTACCCCCCTAATTTGGGCCTTTCAATTTCAATGGAACCCTTAGTTTTGGCTAATTCCTGATGTATTGTGAGATACGACGAAGATAAATTCAAACAGTGCAAATATGGCCAGACGTGATTCAACCATTATGGGGGCCATGCGATGGGTTTATCCTGCAAATTGATACCTCAAGAGAATATTAGTAACATTAGTATGCCAAAAACACAAAGGAAACAAAAATATGAATTTTATGAAAGAATGAAAATTGGTGATGCTTTTTCATGCGTTTCATCCCCTTTGGATCCTCAAGATTGATCTATTCTTACTCTACACTACTTCAAAGATCGATTGGAAGGGTTGGTATGCTTTGAAAGTGGCTGCAAATAGGGTTGGTAATTTGCCCAAGTTTTTGAGAAAATTTGGAATTTTAGAATTGTGATCTTCTTGCAAGGGTTCGTGTGATGTCTTGTCTGAAATGTATAGAATATATAGAGAAGAAGTAAGTCAAACAAGTGTGGGCTTGGACCCTTGCATGAAAGCCTCTTACTTATTTAATTTATTTTGAATTTTAAATAAATTAAAATCTAAAATAAATAGAATAAAAATCTAAGGGGTGTGTGAATAATTCAGAGGTTCATATTGAGTTCCAAAACACGTTTGGACCTTGAAACACAAATCCATTAGCCAAAAAATTCAAGTCTGATCACTTTGGGCTCTAAAAAATTCCTGGTGTTCTTTTACTTATATTTGTAATTTATCTTTTTTTGCATTGATCTTGTCATACATATTGTTACAACATTGTGATTGAAGAACATAATTTCAATAAATATATGTAATTCTTACCTTACAAATCAGTTTTATAAGATTGAATTAGACTCAACCACAACTCTTAACATCTTCCTTTTTCTTCATTTTATTTTTATATTTTATTTGTATCTTCCTATTAATTTATATTTCAAATTTTTAATAGTTATAAGATACTCACATTAGATCACAACTTGTTCTTAAAACCTATTAACTAATAGCCTCAAAAGATTTAATTTAAATCTTAGATTAAAGAGCAAATTTATTTATTAAAATTGATAAGAGACAAATGAAAAAGTGAAGAAGCAAAGTCGTTTTTGTCATATTGGACATGGATTCATCAAGATAGATATTATGTCATTCTTTGTTGATCCTTGGGAATTAGTGTAGCAATCTTCATCTTTGTAAAGCACATGAATGACACGTGATAAATTGAGAACACGCATAAGTAGAGGCTTTGGCACTTTAGTTGAATCAAGAAGTTCCTCATTGATATCCTTCCAAGCATTTGTAACTTGTCTTGAAAGTTCATTAATTGCATCTTCTCTAGTTACACCATGTTGACTCATGTAACACTCAATAGAAGAGGCACCATGCCCTCTCTTCTGCTCAAACTGATTTGGCATAAAATAAAATATTAAACATGTATTTTTGAGAATATAATATATAAATTTAAAAGAAATGATATTTATTTATTAATTATTGGGCTTGATTACCTCGTTGGAAACAATATCATCCATGATTCTGCAAATTATTGTTGAAGCATTAACAATTTTTGGGTTATTAGTTAACCATTTGAAAACTTCTTCTGTAGCAATGCATCCCATTCTGTGGGATTTTGGATCGAACTCTAGTATGATCGAAGTACATGCTGTAGTCGAAGAAAGGGTCTAGCATGTATTTGTCGAAGATGCTTGTTAAATTAGGTTTTAGTGTTTAAACCCTAATTTGTTAAGTTAGCTTGTTTCTTAAGTTAGCTTGTATAATGGGCCTTGTGGAAAAAGCCCATTAGTTAGTATGTTAGGTTTTATTATAAATAGCATACTAGTCTCTCATCATTGCATCACAGCAAATCCTAATTTAGGGTGAGAGGGTTATTTGTTATTCTTGTAAACTTGTAATCTTGTTTTCTAAGAGAAAGTAAAGAATAGCAGTTATAACCAATTCTTGTGTTCTTCTTCTTCCTTGTTCTTTATTCTTCCCTTATTCTATACTTTGTTATTGGCATTGAATTCACAACAAATTGGTGCGGTGAGCGTGGAGAAGATGCCTTCAACAAAATATGAGATTGAAAAGTTCACCGGAGTGAATGATTTCGGTCTATGGCGCTTGAAGATGAAAGCCCTACTGGTTCAGCAGGGTTGTTTGGAAGCGTTGAAGGGAGCGACGGCGATGGACGCTGTGTTAACAGAAAGAGAGAAGACGGCCATGATCGAGAAAGCACACAGCGCAATTTTGTTGAGCCTTGGTGATAAGGTTCTTCGACAGGTATCAAAGGAGACGACGGCATCAGGGTTATGGGTGAAACTTGAAAGTTTGTATATGACCAAATCTCTGGTAAATCGACTCTACCTGAAGCAAGCTTTGTATTCATTCAAGATGATTGAAGACAAAGTGTTGGCTGAGCAGTTGGATATGTTCAACAAGCTGATTCTTGATCTTGAAAATATTGATGTAAAGATTGATGATGAAGATCAAGCGCTGTTATTATTGTGCGCTTTGCCCAGATCACATGCTCACTTCAAAGAAACCCTCTTGTATGGAAGAGAGTCCCTGACCTTTGAAGAAGTTCAATCAGCTTTGTACTCTAAGGACTTGAACGAACGTAAGGAGCATAAACCTTCGACGGTTGGTGAAGGTTTGGCTGTTAAAGGAAAATTCGACAAGAGGAAAGGTAAAAATCAGTCGAAGTCTTATAGTGGTGATGCATCTGGTATTAGATGCTATCACTGTAAGAAAGTAGGTCACACAAGAAAGGTGTGCCCTGAACGCCTGAAAGATCATGGAGGTAAGGATAATGGCAACGCAGCTATTGTCCAAGATGATTTCGAATCATCTGATGTTCTTGTGGTTTCAAGCAAAAACTCGTCGAAGGAATGGATTATGGATTCTGGATGCACTTGGCACATGACTCCAAACAAAGACTTGTTCGAGGAATTATGTGATCAAGATGGTGGATCTGTATTGCTGGGAAACAACAAAGCTTGCAAGATTGCAGGCGTTGGATCTGTGAGATTCAAGCTCCATGATGAGTCAATAAGATTGTTGACTGAAGTCAGGTATGTACCTGATTTGAAGAGAAATTTGATTTCTCTTGGTGAATTCGACAAGAAAGGATATGTTTTTCAAGGAGAGAAAAGTATCCTAAGAGTCATGAAAGGGTCGAAGGAAGTCTTGAGAGGCGTGAAGAAACAAGGCTTGTATACCCTTGAGGCTGAAGTTGTAAGTGGTTCGACAAATGTTGCATCCACGAAACCTTTGTCGAAAACAGAAATTTGGCACATGAGATTGGGCCATGTCAGTGAAAGGGGTCTGGTCGAATTAGGGAAACAAAATCTGCTTGGTGGAGATAAAGTCGAAAAGCTGAAGTTTTGTGAACCCTGTGTACTTGGAAAGTCCTGTAGAATGAAGTTCAACAAAGGCAAACAAAGAACACATGGATCCCTTGATTACATCCATGCTGATCTTTGGGGGCCTGCAAGGTGTACATCACATTCAGGAGCAAAGTATTTTCTATCCATAGTAGATGACTATTCCAGAAAGTTATGGGTATTCATCCAGAAGACTAAGGATGAAACTTTTGAGAATTTCAAAAGTTGGAAGACCCTTGTCGAAAATCAAACTGGCAGAAAGGTAAAGAGGTTGAGAACCGACAATGGCCTTGAGTTTTGCAATGAGGCGTTCGACAGTTTTTGTGTTGCCTCTGGTATTGCAAGGCACAGAACTACCGCAGGTACTCCACAACAAAATGGTTTGGCTGAAAGGTTTAATCTAACTATTTTGGAGAGAGTTAGATGCATGTTGACTAGTGCGGGATTAAAGAAGGTGTTTTGGGCTGAGGCTGTTTCGACAGCAGCATATCTGATAAACAGATGTCCTTCGACAGCGTTAGATATGAAGACACCTGAAGAAGTTTGGTCGGGACATCCACCAGATCTCGACAAACTAAGAGTATTTGGCTGTGTAGCCTATGCTCACATTAGGCAAGACAAGGTCGAACCTAGAGCTCTGAAATGCATGTTTATGGGATACCCTGAAGGAGTGAAAGCTTATAGGCTATGGTGCCTAGAGCCAGGTCACAGGAGGTGTATCACCAGTCGAGATGTAGTTTTCAATGAAACTGAAATGGTTTTCAAGAAAACTGATGATGTTGACAAAGAGCTGGAACAGGTAGAGATTCCTGTTGAGGTGGAGCATGTTGATGCTGAAATGCGTATCCCAGATGAAGTCGAAGAAGAAACAGAAGATTCTGATGATGTTGAGGAAACTGTTGATGACTACCTATTGTCGAGAGATAGGCAAAGAAGAGTCATAAAACCACCTCAGAGACTTGGATATGCAGATCTTGTAGCTTATGCCTTAATCTCTGCAAGTGAAGTTCTAGACGAAGAACCTAGAGATTATAAGGAAGCTATAAGGAGTCGAATGAAGACTGAATGGCTAAAGGCCATGCATGATGAGATGAAATCTCTTCATGATAATCACACTTGGGAACTAATCGAGAAACCTGTTGGGGCAAGGTTAGTCAGCTGTAAGTGGATTTTCAAAGTTAAGGAAGGAATTGAAGGAGTAATGTCGAAGAGGTACAAGGCAAGATTAGTCGCAAGGGGTTTCACTCAGAAAGAAGGTGTCGACTTCAATGATGTATTTTCCCCTGTTGTGAAGCACAGATCCATTCGAATGTTGCTTGCCATGGTGGCTCAGTTCGACCTTGAACTGGAACAAATGGATGTGAAGACTGCGTTCTTGTATGGTGACTTAGATGAAACGATCCTGATGAGGCAACCTGAAGGGTATGTCGAAAAGGGGAAAGAAGATTATGTGTGCAAACTGAAGAAATCTTTATATGGACTTAAACAATCTCCTCGACAGTGGAATAAGAGATTCGACAAGTTCATGGAACACATAGGTTTCATTAGAAGTCAGTTCGACCACTGTGTTTACTCCAGATTTCGACCTGAAAATTCATTTGTTATTTTGTTGCTTTATGTTGATGATATTCTGATAGCAAGCAACAATGTCGAAGATGTAATGAGGGTGAAGGCTGAACTCAATAAGGAGTTCGACATGAAGGATCTGGGAGCTGCATCTAGGATTCTTGGAATTGACATTCGAAGAGATAGAAAGCAGTCGAAATTATGCTTATCTCAAGAGGCATACCTACGAAAGATTCTTGACAAGTTTGGTATGTCGAATTCAAAGCCTGTTGTGACTCCAACAAACCCTCAATTCAAGCTGAGCATTGATCAATGTCCCAGTACTGATGTCGAAAGAACCTATATGAACAGCATCCCATATGCTAATATAGTTGGTTCTTTGATGTATGCTATGGTCTGTACTAGACCCGACATAGCATATGCAGTAAGTCTTGTAAGCAGGTACATGGCGAATCCTGGAAAGGCTCACTGGCAAGCGTTAAAGTGGATTCTAAGGTACATAAATGGGTCTCTGAACAGAGTCTTAATTTATGGTGGAGCCTTGGGTGAAGATAGTAAAGCAGCAGTCGAAGGCTATGTTGACTCTGATTATGCAGGCTGTATGGATTCCAGAAAATCTATTTCTGGATATATTTTCACTATGTTTGGTACAGCAATTAGTTGGAAAGCAACTCTTCAGAAGGTTGTTGCCTTATCAACTACTGAAGCAGAATATATTGCCCTAACTGAAGCTGTGAAAGAAGCATTGTGGCTTGAAGGTTTTGCAAAGGAGCTGAAACTTCAAGGTCAAGGTATCACTGTTAAATGTGATAGTCAAAGTGCAATACACCTGTCGAAGAACTCAGCCTATCATGAGCGAACCAAGCACATAGATGTGAGGCTGCATTTCGTCAGAGGGGTAATCGAGCGTGGAGAAGTCCAAGTGCTGAAGGTCTCGACAGATCACAATGCCGCTGATATGATCACCAAAACATTGCCAAGTTGCAAGTTTTTCCACTGTATGCAGTTGATAAAGCTGCATGAAGAAAGCTAGTTAGTGTCTCTTGATGCTGTAGAGTTAGGTCCAAGGTGGAGATTTGTGGGATTTTGGATCGAACTCTAGTATGATCGAAGTACATGCTGTAGTCGAAGAAAGGGTCTAGCATGTATTTGTCGAAGATGCTTGTTAAATTAGGTTTTAGTGTTTAAACCCTAATTTGTTAAGTTAGCTTGTTTCTTAAGTTAGCTTGTATAATGGGCCTTGTGGAAAAAGCCCATTAGTTAGTATGTTAGGTTTTATTATAAATAGCATACTAGTCTCTCATCATTGCATCACAGCAAATCCTAATTTAGGGTGAGAGGGTTATTTGTTATTCTTGTAAACTTGTAATCTTGTTTTTTAAGAGAAAGTAAAGAATAGCAGTTATAACCAATTCTTGTGTTCTTCTTCTTCCTTGTTCTTTATTCTTCCCTTATTCTATACTTTGTTATTGGCATTGAATTCACAACACATTCCAATAAAGGATGTTGCTGTGAGTAGATAGTAACTAGAATTAGCTATTCCAAGAGCCATGTATTCTTCCATTGTTGGTATAAAATTGCTACTGAACCATTTGGCCTCTGTGAAGTAGGCCTGGACCAATCTTATCATCTGTGTGCATCATAAAATAATTTACAAAAATAAATGAATTACATATTAAGCTCTTAGAAACAAGTAACACTGGGAAATAATGAAGAATTATAATATTTACTTCATTTTTGACATAAACTACACAAAATCCAATGCCTTCTTTGACCGTGTCATGCTCTATTTCTTCAAAAACATCCAAAACGGCTTTGTAGCAAAATTTCATGTATTCTGGTAGAAAATCCATGCAAGTGATATCCCACCTAGAATTTCAATTCAAATTAAGAGGTTAACAACTAAATTCCCCTACAAAATTATAGCTTAATATTGAAAATATAAAATTTCAAAAACCTCAAACCTTTGAATTGCTTGAGTGAAAAGTTGTAGTTCTTCTATCGTACCATAATTATCATATATATCATCGATTACTGAGGTCAATGATATCACCTTGGTCATTATCTTTCTACCAAGAGAGTATTTTGACTCAAAATATACTCCCAATGTCCAAAAGTATGCTTCAACTATTCTATTGCGTGCAAATGGAAGTTTGGTTGCAAAATCCAAATGTTTCCACCACCTAATTATTAATTAAAGAAAACAAACCAAGTTCAATAATCAAAGAGAAAACTGAGTTACGGATGATGCACTGTCATTTTAAAATATTTTTACAGTGTCAACCAATCACGACTATGTATCCCATCAAATAAGATTGTAACTTTTATATTACTTGTATGACATGGTAGAATGATATATTCCTATTGAATGATACTTTAATTTTAAATGACACCTTCAAAATGTTGAGATCTTATATTAATAGTCTAGTTGCCCTTGCAAATAGTTTGTTTGAAACGCTCTACCATACATAATTCGGAGTACATCCATCTAATATGTACATCTAAAAAATTATCTTAAATTTTATTGTTAAATTGTTATTGTTCGAGACTTATATTTTAATTTATTTTTGCCCGTTATTCAATTAGATGTAATAAAACTTACTTTGAAATATCACCAAGTTCTTTCTGATGTTGTTTCTGTAGCAGATTGAAATCTAGTTTGGCAAGTAATAGCAAAGTTTCATCATGTGAGGGGTCTTCTTCATAAGTAGAAATATAATTCCTTGCCACTAGTCTAGGCAAGTTCTTGAAGAGTGGCCTCTTCAAGCTATGATTAATTTTTGTAGCAAGAGAAAGACTCAATTGAGTGGTCATCGTTTCAAGATGTGAGGAAGTGAAGGAAAGTGCTTCATCTAATATATCTTCTCCATGAATTCTCACATGTGTGGCTTCATACAAACTTAACATTCCGTCAACATCACCAATAAGTGTTTCACTGAAATTTCCTTTCTCATTCTTGAACTTCTCAAAAACATCTGAGAATGACAAGATATGTATATACACATGGTTATGTTTTTTTATTGTACCTTCAAAACATTTAAAATAAAAATTAAAGTGGGGCCTACGTACCGGGCAAAATATGGTATCCTTGTTGCCTTAGTAACCTGAAGACAAGTGCAATAGATTGAAGATCTTGGTTAAGATTAAGAGTTACTGTTCCATTTTGGACATAATTATTGTGAATATGTTGCAATAATTCACCAATCTCAAGCTCAAAATGATGGTATAACCCCAAACGTTGGATTGAATCGATCAAATTAGCATCCCTCAAGGGGTTTGTAGGGACTAGCATCAACCTCACCTTTTCTTTTAGCATTATAGTCTGCTTCATTATTTCATCCAATTCCTGCACATTAAAAAAACTTAGATGTTCCATTCAAACATATAAAGTTAAGTAAATGAAAATAAAGTTAAATTAATACCATAGGTTCCGATAGACATTGAATAAAATGATCCCCCCATATGTCGGGGTGATAATTTGCCGAACGTCTAGATGAATTATTTGTGCTTGGAGGAACAACCAGTGATGATGTTGCTGACACTACAAAAATATATGTCCCCAGCGACATATATTAGCGACGTGCTTATCACGTGGGTAGTAGCGACGTGATAACCACGTCGCTAATATATTTTAATGACATTTAATGGAATCTGATGAACGTTGTTGGGAGGGAAGTTTGAAATTTTGTAGCGACGTGTTAGCCACGTCGCTAAATTTTTGGGGGGAAAATGCGCAGTGTTGGACAGAGAAAAGTATTTATGGTTGCATTGTAGCGACGTGATTATCACGTGGCAACGTGGCGACGTGACAGTCACGTCGCTACTAGAAGTTACAAATGTTAACGTTTTGATTTACAGTAGCGTGCTTCTTCTTCTTCCTTTGCTTTCCTTTGCTTGCTTCCATTCCATTACAGCAACTCTCACAAACTCAAACCCAATTTTGCGAATTAATTTTCTTCCATTCCAATTTGTTGAAGAAATCTAAGGTATGCATGTGATGTTAAATGTTTATTTCGTTTTATCTTTAGTTTTTATACTGGAATTTAATTAACATGGTATTTGTTGGATTGTTCCTTATTATTTGTAGAGAAATTTGAAGAACACCAAGAACTAGAAGACGTAAATTTATTGAAGAAATTATATAGAGGTATTTATGCATTTTTTTTTAGATTTTATATGTATTATATAGATTAGATTTGTATATGTATTTTGTGGTAATTAGGAATATATGTATATACTGTTAGTAGTATAAAATTACTGATAATAAAAAAAAATTTAAAAACATATTTAATAACATATTTAATATATTTTTTGCATATGTAATTTGTATATGTAATTTGCATATTTTTTGCATATGTGATTTATATATTTTTTAGTAGTATATTTGTATATTTAATTTGCATATTTTTTAATAACATATTTAATATATTTTTTAAAAAATTTTAGAAAACATAAATTTAATAACATATTTAATAACATGTTTTTTATAGATGTAAATTGTATTTATTATAATAGTTTTATTTTTTTATTTATATGTTAAAGATATGGAAAAAATATTATATATTAGAATAACAATTTATAAAAAACATATTTAAAAAAAGAATATATATATTATATTATTATTTTAATATTATTGTTATATATATAATAATAAATAGTATGTATCTTACATTATTTGTTTTCTAAATATATTATAGTATATTATAGTATATTTAAATAGTATGTATCTTATATTATATATAATAAAAAGTAAATATGTTATATTATTGTTTTTTGATATTATTGTTATGTAATAAAAAATTATATATTTTACATTTGAATATTTATTTATATGTTAGTATATATATAAAAAAGCAAAATTTATATTTCTAAGAATAGTATTAAATAGTTTAAGAATATTTCTAATGAAAAAGACAATGATTGTATAAATGTGCAGTATGGAATATTATCGGTATTATCGCAGTTGGATGTACGATAGAACATATCCAGGAAGAAGTGGACTTAAACCCAATTTTATAGTAGGAGTTGATGGGTTTATTAAGTGGGCGTTTGCTCAGGATTGTTGTCGAAGCGAAGGAGGGGTTAGATGTCCCTGTCTTAAGTGTGAATGTAGACCAATAATTAGTGACCCAGAGGAAGTAACACGTCATCTGCATAGAAGGGGATTCATTGAAAATTATTGGGTTTGGACGTATAATGGTGAAGAACTACCGGTTAATGTACCAGAGACTAGCAACACGCATGCTTCAAGTAGTCGACCGGTTATGGAGTATGAGGAGAACTTTAATTTGATCGGTGACATGGTTGAGGATGCTTTTGGTGTGAACGTGACATATGATGAACCTGAAGATTTTGACGGGGAAGAGTTGCCGAATGAGGAAGCGCAAAGATTTTATCAATTATTGAACGAGATGAATACGCCGTTGTTTGAGGGGTCGTCAGACTCGAAGCTATCAATGTGTGTGAGATTATTGGCTGCCAAGTCAAATTGGAATGTTTCTGATCAATGTTTGGAACATTTTGCAAAAATGATGTTGGACTCCACCGCTACGAAAGACAATTTGCCTACAAGTTATTATGATGCAAAGAAGTGGGTGTCGAAGTTGGGTTTAAAAGTAAGAAAGATTGACTGTTGCATTAACGGTTGCATGTTGTTTTATGACAATGAGTTTGGTATTCAAGATGGATCGTTAGAGGAGTGTAAGTTTTGTAATAGTCCAAGATATCAAGTTCGCAGTAGAGCCGTTAACAGCAAGCAAAAGCGTGTAGCAGTAAAATCCATGTTTTATCTTCCTATAATACCAAGGTTAAAAAGAATGTTTGCTTCAATGCACAGTGCAAGTCAAATGACATGGCATCATACAAACCAAACAAGTTCTGGCACTATGCGACATCCATCTGATGGTGAGGCATGGAAGCACTTTGATCGGACACATCCAGATTTTGCTGCAGAACCTAGAAATGTCAGGCTTGGATTATGCTCTGATGGATTTGCCCCATACGTGCAAGCGTCAGGAAGTGCGTACTCTTGTTGGCCAGTTATTGTAACACCTTACAACCTCCCTCCTGAGATGTGCATGACAAAACCATACATGTTTTTGACGTGTGTTATTCCAGGCCCGCACAGTCCAAAAGCCGGAATTGATGTGTACTTACAACCTTTAATTGATGATTTGAAGAAGATGTGGATTGGAGAATGGACTTATGATATATCCCGTAAACAGAACTTCACATTACGAGCTGCCTTGATGTGGACCGTTAATGACTTTCCAGCATATGGCATGTTGTCTGGTTGGGGTACGCATGGAAAAATGGGTTGTCCGCATTGCATGGGATACACCAAAGCATTTACGTTGGATAAAGGTGGGAAAAGCTCATGGTTTGACTGTCACCGCAGATTCCTACCAGCAAATCACCCGTATAGAAGAAACAAGACAAATTTTAAAAAAGATGTACGAGAGAAAGATTTGCCTCCGCCTCGATTGCCACCAGGGGTTATATGGAACCAAGTATGTGAACTACCAAAATTTACAGATACTGGGAAAGCATGCCGAATTGAAGGATACGGCGTCACCCACAATTGGACAAAAAGAAGTATATTTTGGGATCTTCCGTATTGGAAAGATAATTTGTTGCGCCATAATCTTGATGTTATGCATATTGAGAAGAATTTTTTTGATAATGTATTTAACACAGTGATGGATGTGACAGGAAAAACAAAAGATAATGAGAAGGCCAGACAAGACATGGGAATTTGGTGTAATCGAAGAGAGTTGGAGTTGAAGCCTCAACCGAATGGAAAATTATTAAAACCCAAGGCTTGTTTCAGTCTGACTTCCCAAGAAGCTAAAGCGGTTTGTAGATGGTTAAAAGAATTGAGAATGCCCGATGGGTATTCATCAAATTTAGCAAGGTGTGCTGACCCTAACACTGGAAAATTGCATGGTATGAAAAGTCATGATTGTCACATTTTTATGGAACAGTTGCTACCAATTGCATTTGGATCGCTACCCAAACATGTTCTTGACCCACTAACTGAAATTAGTCAATTTTTTAGAGATATTTGTGCGTCAGCTTTAAAAGTGGAAGACATCATTAAGTTGGACCAAAACATTGCACTCATTCTTTGTAAGTTGGAACAAGTATTTCCGCCTGGTTTCTTTGACTCCATGGAACATTTACCTGTGCATCTTGCATATGAGGCTTATCTTGGTGGACCTGTTCAATATAGGTGGATGTATCCGTTTGAAAGGTTCATGGGTGATTCAAAGAGATCGGTAAAAAATAAAGCTAGAGTAGAAGGATCTATATGTGCACATTACTTGCATCGGGAAACATCACATTTTTGCAGTCACTATTTCAATCACTTGATGTTAACTCCTAGAATCATACGGAATCCTGTAAATGTCAATCAGAGGAGTCAATTCACCTTATCAGTCTTTGCGCTACCAGGTCGACCTTCTGGAAAGAAGGGTGTGCATTGGTTGACCCAAAAAGAAATGCAATCTGCACATGTCCATGTCTTGATCAACTGCGTTGAAGTTAAACCATATCTTGAGTGAGTTTACCAAAACTTTTTAAACTTATGGTGTGTGTATACCAAACTTATTAAACTTATTGTGTGTTTTTTGTAGGGAATTTAACAATGCCTATTTTCATAGTACCGGGGTACAGTCAACATCAGGTGTCATTCATGCTCAATTTCCCTCATGGTTCAAGCAAACATTGTCTAGCGTTCCTGCACTAACTCCAGAAATACTCCATTTGAGAAACTTGGCAGAAGGCCCTATCCAAAGCGCAAATGATTGGCACACATACTTCGTGAACGGATATAAATTTCACACTGAGGCATGGACCGAAGGGAAAAAAACCATAAATAGTGGTGTTTTTGTAAAAGGAGTTACAGATGGCGGTGAAGACGACTTCTATGGATTTGTTAAACATATCTACGAGTTGGTATACAATTACTTGGACACGGAAAATAAAGTTGTCTTGTTTTATTGTGAATGGTATGATCCAACTAGAGGCACAAAGATAGACAAGTCATATGGTTCTGTCGAGATTCAAATGAACCGGAGATACAAAGAATATGACCCTTTCATAATGTCACATATTGTTAGGCAAGTTTATTATGTTCCTTATCCTTCATTTGTAATACGTAAAAGAGGATGGTGTGTTGTAATAAAAACAAAACCGCTAGGTCATATTGAAACTGGAGATCTAGTGGAAGATGTTGCCTACCAAGTTGATGACGTTGAACAGATTAATGATGTGGTTGCAGCTGAAGACATTACAACTTTGTCCGATACAACTGTTGAGGGCCTTCAAGTTGATGCGTCTATATTGTTGGTTGATAATAATGTGGATGAAGACAATGATGAAGAGTTTGAATCCGAGGACAATATTACATCGGATGATGAACATG